ATATAGGTTTGTGTGTCATCTAGTGAACAGAAATCATCTGTCAATCACACTGAGGACATACAATCCACTTAATGTGGGCACTTGTTTCCATGTATATGTTACATAGTTACTGATGCATTAAGATATGATACCATGTTTGAACACAGACCCATTTCTGACTAAAGAGGTGTCGTGGGGCACGTGGGGGCAGCTGGGGTGGGAACATAGAAATGGACAAGCACAGAGAGTAGAAAAGTTGGTTATTTGTCAAAGACTTGAGCTCTTTGAGGCATCTTGCGAATGTACATTCATTACCTATCTTTTCTGTATTTTCTGTCAGTTTTGTGTATTAATTTGACTTCCTCTCAATATGCTCTTTATTATAGCAAAAGATAGAATAAATGTAGCTCTGAAAAGAGAGATACTTCTGAGCAACTTTCCAAAGGCATAGAAGGCAAAATTGGAATGAATCAGGGGAGATTTCCTTGTATATCCTTTTTATTTAACTATACATAGGTCTTTCTTGACAGTTCTGACTATTTGTTAAATTTCCTTTTTGACAGGGCTTTTGTAATAATAGTCTTATTGTTGACCCAGACTGCTGACACTGTTTTGTTGGTGGAGTCTTGTAGAATGTATTTGTCATGTTGCAAAGAACTCTGTGTAACCAGAGGCATAGTCTCCAAACTAAAACAGAAATTAAAAATCAATGTGGCAGTACTCAAAGGTGTCTCAAAGGTGAAAACAAGTTTTGATTCTATGAAATACATGTATTGCTGTGTAATTTAAAAATAAATATAATAAGATTATGGTAAAAAGTATGCATGTACTATAAAAGTGATTTATATATACTTCAGTAATTCCAAATTAAAAAAAAAAATCCAGTAATTCCTTTTATTCACTTGCTTAATGAAGCACTAATTTTGAGATGTGTTAAAATTTTAATTTTTTTTCACTAAGTGGCTTATCGATAGTCTGTGTCATAGATATGATTTGGCTGTTAATCATCTCAATTCTATACTTTGCCAACATGTCATATCTCTTGTTTATTTAAACCTTAAACTTGCATTAATCTCTTTGCACAAGTAGAGTTTTTGCCTATGCTTACCTTCAGGATAAATCGCAGCGTGTTCTATGTGGATGTCACTCCCTGGGGCTTTTGACTAGAAGCTCTTCAGCCCCAGCACTGCTGTTACTTTAGGGGAAGTACATAGCCACACAGGTAGCTGGTTTGGGACTGAACTGTGGTAGGTAAGAAGTCTGTGTTGCTTTTGTGACATGGCCTAGAGTAACTTACTGTAGTTTTAAAGAGAGATTGGATTTATACTTCAGCACTGCCAGACTCAGAACATAATGAGTCTTTTCCTTCCATTTTTTGAACTGCTAAGAAGAACATCTCTTTTTCTTCTCGGCTGTCAGTTTTGGAGGGTAGTTACATGAGAGTGGAAGGGTGTACTAAAGGAAGAAGAAGCTAAAGTACTAAGAAGTCTTACACAAAAAATCTTTAAGGGTAAGCTTGATTGAAACAGAAAAGTGTTATAAATTTACTTGAAGATGCAGTAGAAAAACATCATACTTGTCTATGGCCAGATCCAGTCATTAATAGTTTTGTCAGCTATAGGCTTCCACAAGCATGACACATCAAAGAAGAGTAAGATCTTTGTGTTGATTCTTCATAAACTACTGTTGTCATTATTCTTATGCACCTAACATAAAAGGAATGGCATCAACAAAAGACAGACTCAGGAATGTTTTTGAGGCTGTCTTCAGGTGTGATTGGTTATAGTGGGTATGTTGTAGTTCCACCTCTAGTATAAAAAAAAATTCTTATCCCTTCTTCAGCTGTTTATTATAAGGGAATAATTAATAAATTCCTTGGTACTAAAACTGAGACATGGTACGCATTTAAGGAAAAGCAGCAGAATCAAGATAACAGAATGTGTCTGTTTTCAGTATTCTGATGCATCAGAAGTGATGTATGAAAAAAGCTCAGATAAAGAGAGCTTAAGGTCTCTTTCTATTTCTAAAACCCCATTGAACTAAATTTGGCTGAGATGGAGTTAATTTTCTTCATAGCAACCCATGTGGGGCTGTGTTTGAGATCAGTAACTCCAACAAGGTTGATAGGACACCAATGATTTGGCTATCGCTGAGTAGTACTTGCACAGCATCAAGGTTTTCTCTTTTCCACTTTTCCTCTGTACTGGGAGTGGGCATGGGGCTGGGAGGGTACACAACCCAGGCAGCTGACTCAGGTTGATGAGAGGGCTATTGCATGCCATATAACGCCATGCTCAGAATAAAAACTGAGGGGAGGAGGTTTTAGGGGAGGTAGCCATTGCTTGGAGACTACCTTTTGTCTGTTTGTGGGAGATGGTGATGCATCGCCTGTTTCATTTTTCCTTCCTCTTTTCTTCACTTATTAAACTGTATCTTGACCCACAAGTTTCTTCCCTTGGGCTCTTTCTGTTCTCTCCTCTAGTCCTGCTGGGGGCTGGAGAAGGAAGGATTGGCTGTGTGGTCCTTAGCTGTTGCCCAAGATGAGCCCACCACCCTATAGAGCAGGATCTGTAAGGATGAGGTGCTCCAGTGGGCAATTCTGGAGTGCAAAATAAGATACCAAATACTTGTTTAGTGGTGTAGGTTTCTGTTATGCGCATTCATGGGGAAGTTTTCATGTGAATTCAATAGATCAAAAAAGAGATACTCAATGCTAATTGTTGTAAATTTTCTATAAAATTTTTTTGGTGCTTAATTGCTCCATTGTTTCTTTTTAAAAAACACAACTTTTCAATAGTTCCTCTTACTTCTTTCTTGTTAACTGCTAATATAGTTTACATGGTTTTGACTGGCCATTTACTGTATCCAGCTAGAATAATAAAAGAGCACATGAAAAATACAGATACAACCTACACAGTAAAAAAAAAAGGGGGGGAGAAAAAATACTGAACTGAAAATAAGCAAAAGGATGAAAACTAAATTCATATGAATAATGACGACAGATTGTATTCTGCACTCCTTTTCAGATTTCTTAGATAAAACTGTAATCTAGAACACCGAGGGCCCCATATTATTAACATTATTGTTTCCTTAGAGCCATTCATTGTTTACTACATGAAATAACAGGGCTCTGCAAAGTTGCATCCTATACAAGAGAATTGTATACAGTAACTCTGCAATTCTGTACTAACACTGCTGGGTGCATATTGTAATTTTGGTGTCACTACTGCAGTGAAGTAATTTAGGAGCAAAATCTCTTAAAAGAGCTCATTTAAGCTTAGTGTTTTTGGAAAGCAGAGTGCTTTTAAACCAGCTCTGTCCAGGACACTACTTATTTATTATTCGGTCTATTTCAGAGCACTTTTCAAACACTTTTGAAATACATTTGCACCTAGTACTTATCTTCACAAAGTAAAATCATCATACTTCAATACAGTCACATTTGTATTTGATAGACAGCAGGTAGAAATAATTCGTATCTGATGTGTGTCAAAGGGGTTGAAAAACTAGGCTTTTTTTGGTTTTGTTTTTGTTAATAGGACTAGGATGAGTATCTCAGTGAGATTAAGTCATCAGGGCAAGGGCAAAACTCATTGAAGTCAAGCAATATCTTCCCAATAATTTCAATAACTATGCCAATCCCAGTGAAACAGTTCCTCTCAGGATGGGTGTGAGGAAATATTGGTAAGTTGTTGAAGAAACGGTGGTTGAGGGAGAAGTACGATGGAGGTAGCTGGGTCAGACACTTCATAGGTGGAAGGCCAGCAGCAGTGCTTGAAGGCACATGCTACTATACATACCAGATAGCATATATTATTTTGAGTGATGTCCAGTGCCTCAGCTAATAGGGTGGATAACAAAGGCAGAAAGTTAGAATTTGAAATCAAACTGCTGTGGGTTACATGAAGAAACTAACCTTTACTATGTCACAGTAGCCATAAATGATTTTTCTGTGTCTCAGGACTGGAATAGTTGCTTTACTACAGAATATGATATCATTACATTGTGAGAAGGGGTTTATAAACATGTTCTTGTTTGAAACAAATAAATAGAGTTCACAGGCTTCTCAACAGTTGCTCATTTAAATTTACTGTAAATATACTAAAAAAAAATACATGAGACTGAAAATATTTAATGTTTTACAGGTCCCATGAGTAAGTGATATAAGCTGATAATCTGTTGCTGTGAATAATGAACAAAGTAATTCCAGATTTGAAAATGTTTCCTTGAATGCCGGCAGGAACAATCTGTAGCAATCGAGAACAAAAGGATCTATGTGTGTGAATTTGGTTATTAAAACATTAATGACAGTGAAGATGAAAACTGTCACTTGCCTTGGTTTGAGGAAATGCTGATCTGCATGTGTTAGCTGGCAAAATCATCAAAACAACAGAATCTGTTATATTGTAAAATAAGAATCCCTCAAATAATCTTACTATGGAAACTTCCCTGAATCTTGTGTATACTTGGAGAGAAGAAATACTTTTCATTATAGGCTAAATATTGACTTTATTCATCAGTGCTTTTAAAAAGGTTTTTTTTTCAATGAAAAATAGATACTTGTACTATAAGAAATTTTTTGAATTTCTGTACTAGTCGGTTTTGAAGTTTCAACTATATTTGTCTTATGTTTAATTGTAAACAACAGGGAACAGACTTTTGTGAAATTCTTATAGTTTTTATATGCTAGAGCCACATGTATGTGGGCAAAAAAATTTTATATGAAAATTTTGTGGAAGATAACTAAATATAAAAAAACCCTCAACCATAACTTGTTACAAAAGCTGCTGAGTATTATTTACTCCATTAGATACAATATGACTAAAAGACTTTCTTAAATAGATATTATTTTGACGTAGACCTGAAACCAAATTGAAAATCAAGTTTATTAGAAATTAATTCTAAGGAAACAAAATTAGATGCTAAGTTATATTTTATGCTCTCTTAATTTTCAAAAATAAGTTTTGCTCACACAGAGAAAAAATATAGAAACTAATATCTTAAAATTTCTTCTGACTTAGAAAAAACTGACCAAGAGAATACTGTGGCAGGAGATAAAGATATAAACCAGCCTTCCAGTAACCAAAGTATACAAGCAGAGATACAAGAGCAGTCCATCTGGGGAAATCGCACTGATGGTGACCTCATCACAAGTAAGTATTTCCAGAACAAATTACTGCCTTTTAGGCTTGCTTTTGCAGTGTAATGGGATACTGCTTGTTGACTCTGTTAAATGTGTGTAAATGCAATTGGGTTGCAACTGTAATGCACATCTACTGAATTTTTTTTTCCAGATTGACTCCTGTCAGCATGCATAAGCAATGAGTACAAAGAAAGGTGTGATTCGGGTGGTGCTGTATGGTATAGACCTCTGTAGCATCTACATTTTAAAACCTTAATGTTATATTCTTCCCTTATCATTAATAGTATGATTAGCAGGGACATGAGTTGTGGTGTGCAGCTGTGCTAGGTGTCATCACCCTCGATTTCCCAGGCTATATATTTAAGTGGCAGAGTATGATGAAAGCAGTTGTTTCCAGATGCACTGAGTACTGGTCAGGTGTAGGTTTTTTAAGAGTTTTGAATACTAAAGTAGTTATTTCTTTCAAAACTAGAAGACTGCTGTAAGACAAGATTTTAGACTTATGCTATAGAACTGTGGAGGTTTTTAATTAGTTCTTATAGGTCCACAGTCCTAGTGTATGTTATGAATGCTTTAAAACATGTATGCAATATTATTCCCATTTTCCTGTCTTGAATTGAAGATCATATGCTGTCCAAATGCTCACTCACAATTGCACCCTCCTAAGGCAAAAATATTTCTGTCAACTGCCAGAGCTAAACTGCTTTAAAATTCTGTGAATGCTTGAACATTAGTTGCTAAAGGGAGGGGCAGCATGAGAAACTGTTCTCTAATTATAGGGTGTATTCAGAAAGCAAATGGACTAAATGCCGAGTGGTGCTCCAGCTCTCTAAGGTCATTGTCTGATCACACACTTCAGTCTGTCTTTACACTGCACACAGAATACACTGTTCACAGGGGGATAAATTCATGTTTCTGAACTTGCTGTTCTCAAAACTGGAATTTTTGCTGGAGTTATCTATTTCTTTTTAGTTTTGTTTTGTTTTTTGGGGGGGAAGGAGGGTGTTTTGCTTTCTTGTTTTATAGTCTTATCTATACACTCAGCTTCTCCTGAGCTTTGTGTTCGTATTTGAAGTTCTTTTAAAATCTTAGTTAATCTTTTTTTTTCTAAATAATGAATCCCAATAAATACTTATACCCCTAACGTATTGAATAGTTACATAGATCCTTTACAGGAAACCTACATTTAGCATGTCAGATATTTATCTGACAATTTAAAATTAATTCTCAAATGACTATAAAGAGGGAAACTTGTCCTGCACAGATTGAGAGTTTACTTAATACCAAAAGATTAGTTTTTTAGACTTAACTGTCCCTGGACAAGCGATTGCTTTGCACTTATGTTGAGTATATGGAAAGGTGTGTGTGGCATCGTGTGCTTTTGGAATGGCCTCCTTCTCATTCCCTCTTTTTAGAAGCTTCCTTATTCCCAGATTCATGAGAAAGCAGATTTATTTCGTAGCAGTTAGCAGCATGCCTGAACTATGGAGGAGAGGAACAAGGACTGTAGGGTGGTGCTGTGCTTCCTCTAATCTGTTCACCACAAAGACATACTACAGTGGCTGCACTGAGGGAATGTGAGGGAATTATATGTTTTTTCAACACACAGTAGAAATGGACGCAGAGTGTGCAAACCCCTGGTAAAGTAACTTGATGATTGTATTTAGTTATATCTCTATGATGGGAGGGTTATTTGCTGCCAAATTAAAAAAAAAAAGTAACAGGAAAAAGGGCAAAGATAGGATAAAATTCAGAGGAAGGTACTGCTGCAGTGTGCACAACTGTGCTCCTCCTGGAGTCACTGGTAGTTTTACCTTTGACTTTGTGAAAAGTAAGTTTATGTGAAAGCTGTAAGTTTCTAAAACACTTAGTCTTGATAATTGTGTAGTAAAGGCTTTATTATGGTTCATATTTGATTAGATGCTATGATGCAAACCTCTCTTTTCTTCAAATTAATGATTTTTTTAACCTTTAATTTAAAGTCTTCTACATGGAAGAAACAAAAATGATGAAATTAAAGCAAATTTTTCTTCCTTTTTTTCTTTGATAGATGAGTTATTAGTGTGGAAGTTTGTTCTACTTTTAAAAATTGAGGTACAGTGCTTGACTCAGTTACAAATACTTCTAGTTTGTAGAAGTTTTACAGCTCAATATACCTAGTAACGAAAGTTTGAAAACTAGAACAAGTGGAGCAAGGAGAAGCTTGTTTATGACTCAGGTATTTCACTTTAAGTAAGTACTGGAGCTCAGAATGTTCTTGATTGAACCAGATCTATTACCCCACCAGACTAAATTTTGCAAATTATTGCATATTGAAAGAAACTTTCTTCAAATAATATTAGACAGGCCATACTTCAGTTCTCTGAAGTATTAACAGCTGTTCACCACTATCCTAATGATTCAGTTTCTTTTTTTCCCATACAGATTGTTTTCCGCCCCCACAGTTGATGCATACTCCATTTGTCTTAGCATTAGTTTTTACTTTATAAATGTTTCCAGCATTTAATTTCCAAGATTTTCCTTGTTTGCAGCTGTTTTATCCTGCTATTATATGGAATTAGATTAATCAGTCAGTTTTATTGGCACACCAACAACGAAGTCCAGTGTTGGAGCCCCTGTAATGACTTCATTATGTATGATTTGTCATTTGCACTTGTGAACTCAGTTTACCAGGCAACACCAATAAACTAAAATGCTGCCCTGGTTTTTCCACAGTGAGATGTTTTACGTTCACCTTGCTCTGCCCTTTCAGTCTGTTTTGCAAGGTCCCTCTTTTTAACCTCTACAGATTTCCTTCATATTAGCCTTTCCCCCACCTCCTTTGGAGCATCCCTTTTCCCCATGAATAAAAATGTTCATAAGATGCTGGTTAATCTTATGGGAAGCTTCAACCAAGAAATTAATTGTTTTCGAAGAGAGCTTGCGAATCAAAAAGTTACTGTATACTGATATATAAACAAGGAAGAGCTATATAAACAGGAAACAGTTGTATTAACTTTCTGTATTAATTGTTAATGTACTTGCATAACTGTTACTGGAATACTGTGTTAGTTGGAGAAGGGTCAAGGGAGAACCACAAATATCTCAGGAATGATTGGAGTAGTTGAAAACATGCCTTATTGTGGAAAACCTCCTGGAATTCAATCTGTATAGTGTTAAAAAGGGGGCTAAAGAGGGCTTTGCGTAGTCCCTAAGAAGCATACCACAACAAATAGAAATTTGGTAAGACAGTTCTTCAAGTGTAGCACACAAAGGGAGAACTAGATATAATGTCTGGAGGTTCAATTAGACTAGAAATAAGTTGTATATTTTTTAATAGAGTATTTGAGAACAGGAAGAACTGCCAAATATTTGGTGTGTTTAGGTGTGTTAAATTGGCTTTATTCATCACAAGGTGTCCATTGCTATCCATATCTTTCAATTTTAAAACCTGAGTAAAGGAGAATATTTCCATAGTAGTTCCCCCAATTTATCTTTTTGGGTGCAGATATTTTTCAAGAAAATATTAAGACCTATTCCCTTCTCTTCGCAGACACACATATATTTTCTATTTTATTTCAGGTTGTAGAGGTTCTGCTTTTCAAAAGAACTTTTGAATAGCTCCATCTGCTATCTTCTTTTGCAGTGCATTTTAAATATCTGCAAACACCTTCCACCTCTTTTCATTGTCTGGTCTGGTGGCCTGTAATGGGGTGGTTCTGCTTCTGCTATCACTCACCACTGACAAGTGAGGAAGAGCATATGTTAAAACAGCAGCAGGGTAACCTGTGGCTGTAGGAATGAAGCCATAGCAGTTTTTGCTACTCCATATTATCACAATGCCTTGCTTTGTTCTCTGGAAGAGGTTGGGGATTTTTTTTCCCAAAAAAAGGCTATAAAGATGGATTTCAGAATATTTAGGGAGAATTTTTGCAAAGGGCACTAGGTTATCATCAATTTGTGCTGTTATGCAGGCAAGGGAATGTTTAGGAGGGAAGAAAATGCCAGTCTTGAACACTATTTGCTTGTGAGGGTTTAATCTCCTTTCTAGTACTCAAGCAGAACCTTAGCTATGTGATATTTAAGAAAACAAAAAACATCTACCATGGATTCAAATTTTCATGAATAATTGATTAATAATAATCCAATTCTCAAGATTAAATACCTAAAATATGCCCATGTTTTACAGATAGAAAGGTCATTGCTATCCATCATTTTCTAACTTCAATTGCCTCTTTCTCCTCCATGGAACACCCCTCTCATAAGTGTGATTCTTCAGAGAAAGGGATGCTTCAATCAGCTTTGTGGGGATCAAACAGTTTTACATGTTCTTGTGCCTACTACTTTATTTACTATATTCTTCTTTATTTTGTTTTGTTTTATTGCATATAAACCTAGATATTTTTCTCTTTTGGTTTTCTATATTTTTATGTTGACATTTTACTTTATTATTTATGTAATTTTAAGGTCTGGAGATTCCCTTCATTTGGCTAAGTGAGTGACTTCTGTAGTTTAAATTATGCTGTTTGGGTTTAGGACTTTTTTTTCCAACAAGAAGAAGATAATCTGCTGTTAGAACTGTTCATTTTGTTTGATATTAATCCAAATTTTTTTTTCGCTATTTTGTAGGGCATGCTCATATTACAATTACTGTGATTTCAGATGATCCTGTTTATTCTGTCTATAAAATAATGCAGTGTTAGAGATAACATAAATGGTTCTCTTCAAAGCTAGAAATTATGATAAATACAGTCTTCTTGCAGCAAAATAAAGTGTGTGAGTACAGAAATTGTGCAGAATAGATTAATAGGAATTATCCAAAATATATTGCTGAGCCTGAAAGGTGCATTCTTTTAGTTAAAGAAGTGATTTATATACAATGTTCTAAGTATACCTAGGTATAAAAAAGTGTGAACCTATGAATGAACAAAACTTAAGTCAGTTCAATACTTACATACAGCAAAACAGTATTTGATATTTCAAACCTTCTTTAAAAAAGATAAATCTTTGAGGAATCTGGCTACTCAAAGT